GCTTCAGTTGTGAGGTCGTTTTTTTGAAAAAACGATATCAAACATAAAATATCATTTTCTATCAAAAAGTTGCCATGAAAAAGAATTTTTCCCTATTCAATCAAAAATTTTTCAACAAATCTTTGTTATCAGTTGGAAAAATAATCGAATACCATTGTTTCATTTTCCATCATGAACTTCTCAAAAATATATCATTTTGTATCTATTATCACTGTTTCCATGTACTTTTCCTTATCCCAGCAATACATTATTTTAAAATAAAAAGCAGTAAGGAAGAACTAATATAAATGCGTATTTTAGGCGAGCTTACGATTGAAGCTGCAATGACAGAATAACTTCGTAGATAAGAAGATTAGATAAGTACAGCGTGAACGTGAAAAATGAGAAAAAAAACATTCTATTAAAATTTAATATTTGTTGCTATTCTAAAAATTAATTATAAGTTTACAATCTATATAAACCAGTTTCAACAAAGCAAAGAAGGAATCAAAAAGACAGCAAATAAATGGCCATTCGTATGTTCGAAAAATTCAACCAATTCAATCCTTAAAGATGACTACGCAAAATTTCAGAATGGTTAATGGCGACAGACAAAAGTATATAACTACGTTGATATCAAATCTCATAACCTTGAAAGTGAATAAAAACGGTTTCGAAAAAGAACATGTTTTAAAAGAATATCTTAGTGAGAAATCGAGTTGCAAGGATAAAATTCAGGATGTAATTTAACATTAAACAGAAAATTTATTGAATGAGTGAACACACGAGAAATACAAGATCGAATGACAAATTTCTATAACAAACAAAGAAATTTTTTTATCCTCAAAACTAAATGGAAGACCAAAATTGAAATGATTTAACATTATCTCGTTAATCAGTTTTTAATCACTCTAACCTTATACCTGCAGTTAAATGCCATCATGTCCACTTATTTACATGATGATGAATGCACTTTGAGGTCTTTTGCTCACCTTTAACCTTCACCTACCGCATTAGAATTTTGCATTTACCAATAGATGTTGTCAAAAGCAGAAACATTTTGGATATGAAGAAAATATTAACTACAAGTAAAAACGATGTACTATGGTAATTAAATGTAAATAAAACTATTTACATGAAAAGAAAAATGCAGAAACAAAAAAATAAGTAAAAATGAATACCGTAAATTGAAAGGTGATTAGTTATTTACGATTGCCCCATAACAAATATGAACAGGAATCAAAACTTGATAAAAATAAGGAAAAAAGGCACTTTGCAATGTTACTTGCAAATAGCTGATAATTTTGGTCATCTATTCCAGTGTAATAGCAATCATTCAAAATGATGAACAGCTATAGTTTGATACCTTACCCTCTCTCTTTTGTCCTTCTTTCCAGCCTTGAAGATTTATTTTCAAACAAATGAATATGAAAACTGGAAATATTTATTCTGCAATTTGTTTTATTTTACAAATAACCTTTTTCTCAATTTAATTTACCTGCACTAATTAAACTTTTGTTCATGAAATATGTAAAACATGATTTTTTTACAATTTATGTTCCTAATCCGAGACTTCGGTATATTACCTTGTCCTCGTATATCTGCATTGTAGTTTTACTTATTCTAATTGACTCATATTTAACTCTATTTGATTCAGCAATGCATATTTGCCGGTAACCGAGACAACCATTGGCATTACCTTGCGTCTCACTGATATTATACAATCATAATAATCACCATCTTACCCTGCTAACTAAGCCATTCAACTATGGTAATGTCGTCACAAATGTGGATCTCCCCCCGTATTATCACAAATATGTGGCACCCTTGGCAAGCTGTATAAAAATACTCTGATACTATAAGTCATTATCATGATTATTTGTAGATACGTTCGCAACACAAATGTCACATTCTTTGTGCAGTTTCTTTTATAGACTGCCAAGAGAATCAAAATGAGAGCTATAAACATCGAATAAAATTTAATTATAAGCAAAATGAGCTCCTCTCAAAGCTTTTAGTCCCACATACATCAACAATCTCCAATAGAGGGTGACTGTGAGACACGAAGACAGAATAGGAAAAAAATAAGCGCTACTGAATGTATGCACACGCGTAATGTGGACTGCATGGGAATTTGAAATACTCATTCAATAATGTTCCCAAGCTATGTAATATCATATTTGATATTAATTTCTTCATGCACTGCCTTACACAGACTAGTAATGTTGATCTCGGAGGAAAAATCCTCATCATCTATTATTAACACTACAGTTTGATTATAGTTTTACAATACCTTTCAATATCTTAAAAAGATTGCGATTTATTCATTCGATGAATCAGAACTGTGATTTGTAAATCATCCACCTGAAGTTTATGAATTAAAGCTAGCAAAAAAATCAAACCATAAACAGATGTCAACTTTTTTTCTAATGCGTCACTGCCCAGATCTCTGTAAGACATTGGTCACTCTGTGTAATATCTGAAATAATCATACTAACAAAATATCTATTAAACTCATAAGATTCACCATGTTCTGTTAAACGATTTTAACTACTGTTCATCTTAATATTTTCTATCGTATATTTTGATACTTTGAAGTCGTTTATCACGGAAGCACTGCTATCATAATAAAACTTTGAATATAGTTGCAGCAGCTATACTCTTCGTAAAAAAAAAATTTTCGAGATGAAAAGCTTGAAAAATAAGAACAAATGGAAAAGGGAAAAGAGTAAATGTACAGATGGAAGGAGGTATGTTTTAAGAATAATTTAAAAAAAGGATAAATGAAAGCTCAGAGTCCTTTAACAGAAAGTAATATTAATTAGTCAGTCTTGAGAACTCTGCATCGAAAGTAAAGGAGAAAAACTAATCGAATGCAAGGGAACGCGAATAGAAACTAGATGCATAGAAGCAAAATTTCTATCCTATCACCCCTTCCTTCGTCGTTTCATTGAGGCAATTTAATGGGAATTCATTTGCACGATGAAATGAATGCAGTGCCGCACAAAGCTCGTTCTCCGACACTCAACCGATTTAATGTAAATTCTTATGCTCTAATGATTCTTCATGGAGTAATCTTAGTTCTAAAATGGAAAGAATTTACCACTGAAATCCAAAGGATACGGTGAGATGGAGCAAAAATAAATGGTATGTAAGAGCAATTAAAGCTGTTATTAAATTATATAAAAGAACTGATCTTCTTGTTCCTCTGTTTTATAGCTCCAATCTTTAACCTAATAAACAAAAGCAAGGACAGGACTGATTGGACGTGCCCATCAAGTTAATTAAAAGCGGAACTCTACGTGTCAATAAATGTTATTTTCCGGAGTATAAAAATTGCATGAAGGTGAAATACACTATGTTCGACTATCGATACAGCAGATGTAATGTCATATTGAAGAGCTGGAAAAATCTTTCAAAACTAACACAAGCATAATAGTATTTTAGAGCATTCAATTAATATAAGTAATCAATTGACTGGCCGACCTCAAAAGTGACGAAAACAAATTTTTAAAAAAGTAAGACATAAAAAGAGGTAACGTAAGCAGAAATAAAGACAAAAATAAAATTGTATGATTGAAATAGTAACATTAATCAAATTAACGATTAAATTGGTTGAACAAAGGATAAAATAGAAAATTTATCCAAATGAATCTAAAAAGGGAGCAAAAATATAAATTTGAAGGGATGAAAACCAATGGAAATGAAAATCAGCAAAACGATGAACTTTTTTCCATTTCAATGAGATTCCTCTCTAATATATTCAATCGTTCCCATTAATTTTAGCAGAATTTGTTTTCAAATAATCAGGGAATAAATTTACCGCACCTACTGTAATTTGTGATATTCAGATTAAATGACACTATTTCATGAAAGCAGCAACAACATATTAAACATCAAATCTACGATGCTATACGTGTATTTTTTAGGAGGGTAAAATAACATCTGGCAATGTGATGCACCGCTGCTCTATTTATAAAATCGCTCTCATAAATCGCTATCTCAGAATCTGTTCTCGCTGCTTCCGATGAAATAAGTAGTAGATCAATTCAAATATCCATCTTTTGGTTACGAATTAAAGTGCTACGCTTTTCGACGTAACTTTTTTACATTTGTCGTACCTACCGTCGTTCCGAGTAAGGAAAACTAAAATTAATAATATTTCAGAATGAATACGCATTAATATAAATATAGAAACGACTTATAATATCATAAAAGTTTTATGCACAGCCAAGGAGAACGAACACTTTTCCATTATCAGCAAAAAAACTTGAGAATGAGGATTTGAATCCCAAATAAGATATTTGGACATGAAAATAAAGTAATTATAACAAGACTAAAAACTAAGCCCACAAAATAAAAAAATCTTTTTTTTTTATTCTATAAATAAATGCACTTTCTTGATTATATCTTGGCAACAAAATATCTAATTTCAGTACTTTTTGACTACTTTTTTGGTTGTACGGTTTTTATCCAGCAATTAAATGATTGCATTTCCTATGCTTCTCAATGAATGAAAATTTCAGAAAATATTTCCACTCTTTTGACACTTCTATTTTTCTTTTAAATTTTAGATCGCAGTTTAAAAAAGTGGCAAGAAAATCTTTTAATTAGAAAAAAATTTTCGTGATTTGTTTACTCGAAATGCAATTTGATATATTCTAGAAGTAGAAAGGAAAAAGACTTGATAAAGTTAAAAACAGATGAAAAATTGAACTGAAAACATTTTTCATCCGAAAAACCTCATATGAATAAAAGAGTGCAATTTAAGGATTAAGTATTTAACTACTTTTTTGTTGAATACTATAGTATTTTCATTGAAAACGAATGAATAATAGTAAGCGTGAAAAGGATACGGAAGAAAAATAACTGAAAAGAGAGATAAGATCCTAAAAAAAATGTACTTTTCTAAAAAAAATATGTAAATTTCGAAAATTTCAGTTCTTTTAAAGAGGTAAATATGAAACAAAACCTCGTAGGATGTGAGAGGATTAAAACAATAAAATACTCAAAATAGAGAAATGAGAAAAGCTAGAAATAGGAATGAAACGGAACAGCAGAAGGGAGATCGAGTGATCAGTATGCAGACATTTGGGATTGTTTATTTTGATTTGTTTACATCACCAGCCATGCTCTGTGTTGGATGCATGTGCACGCGGGTTAGTAATCAGTCAAAATAATTGAAAGCTTTTCCTTTCATCATCGAAGGATGCTAAGAGTGGGAGCAGCTCTACTTGTTTAATTGCTTCAAATGAATCAATTTGAAGCAATTTTCAATTAAAAAATTCCAATTTTGAAAGTAAATCTAACTTTACAGTCAAGGAGGAATGAAAACGAATAAATCAAATTAGGTATGATAAATGAAATAAATGCTTTTAAAGTTGCATCGAGAAAATGGATTTTCATTTGGCGACATCATTCGATGAAAGTTATTAACTGGTTATGAATCAGACTAAAATGGGGTGTAATTTTTTAGAAATAAGATGCAGAAGATTGAAAAATTCCAATTTTGGAAATAAACTTAATTTTAATCAAAGAACAAAGAACGAGGCTTTAGTGGTGTTTCTGAACTGGCACTGCTTTAAAATGCAAAAACTAATTCTCGATAATAATATACAATAAAATATAATCATTGAATTGCTGATTCTTTCCATTAGAAAAGAAATTATTGATGCCATTTCTAATTAACTATAATTCCATTTTCTCATAACAATCATTCCTTACCTAATTCTTTTATATAATTAAAATTCATTTAGTTTCACTCACTCCACTTAATCTTCCTCTTTTCCCACCCCTCTTCTATCTAATTATTTAAATTGCTTTTTAGGTAGCT